GTTACCGACATCTGGTGAAAATTTCATGTCATTAGCACCTCTAGTAATATATTTACTGAGAAAAATGMTGACGTGTTCAATACTTATTTTACCCACTGTATTAGCATTTTTGTATGTCCAAATACCCACTTTTCAGGTGGAGCCCCCTCCTCAAATAAGGGGTCGATCGTAAAATTGTTGGCTGCTGCAGTGTAGGTCGGACACATCTACATTCCTGCCAAATTTCATGTTGATCGTGCAGCCGTTTACGTGTTACGGTTGACCAAAAATCACTGAAAAATAAATAAAAAATTAACCATAACAAAATGACCTCTGCTTTGCATGTGTGGGTCATAATAAACGAAGATAAAAACCATTTTAAAGCATGCTTTCTTAGTGAAAATAAAGTGTTTTATGTTTCTGGTTTGGATTTTTGTCTACATAGATCTGACACGAATCTGTTTTTGTTTAAATCCTTTTCTTTAAACTGGTAAAAAGAACAGCGAACCAGCAGAGTTWATTGTGTTGGATCGTGCTTTAAATCACCACTTTTTGGATTTTTAAAATTTTTTTTTATTGGTCAGGTGGAACAGCTGCAAACTTATGACCTTAAATTAGGTGTTTAAAGATTTCACGTGGCAGTCAGTTAAAATCTGAGGAAGTCGTTTGGGTGACAGACAAAAATGAGTTTGAGGTCTTCTTTAACGACYCAACGCTCAGATCTCTTTTCTGTGAAAACTACACACTTTTATTCCCTTATCGTTTGTAGAGACCAACAATTCATGTCTGCAGCAGATGCACTTTAATTGCCCAATATCTGCTGAACAAGAGGCCGTATGGAGTGAGAGTAAACACGAGTGAGTGTGCAGTGAAGTGGGTCCCTCTGTGTAGTTTTGCCAGCGTTTGCTGCAGCCTGCAGCCCCTGTGTCCCGCCCCTCCTTGCTGGCCCGTGGGCCGTCCCGTGAATGAGGTATTTGTCCGCAGATCCAGCCCCTGAGCTGACTCGCCTTTGCACACGCAGGACCAAAGCACAGCTCTGAACCTTTAACCCCCTCAGCTTCTGATCGTATCTCCACTGACAGACCATTAAGCTCTTATAGCCCGTGGCAAACTGAAGGAGGAGTTAAATGAAACAGAGCAGAGGTTAGGATTCTAAAGACAAATTTTTTCTTTAATAAAAATGGAAGCTGAGTTCTAAAATGGAGGGTCTGCTTTTAAAAACGTGACTTTTCTTAAACAAATGCAACTTTATTTTTAAGGAAATCTTTTCTGTTTTGAAAACAAGATGAGGCCACAACATCAGAGAACTGCTGATGATTACAGCTTGCAAATGTTTGCTACTGGTGTGCGCGCCAAGGCCGAAAACCAAGGCCACTGCCGAGCCAACGGCACAAACACTCCTGAAATGTGGACCGCAGAAGCAGCGACAACTCGTTCATCCATTTCCCTGCTTTATTACCGTGTCATAAAAAAA